TAGCAGAGACGCTACTGTTTCTCTTAACATAGGCAGTTGTGCCGGTTGAACGTTGAACCCTGGCGGGGTGACTGTTAACGGAGGCTTGGCCTTGAGTTGTATAAGATATCCGTGCTGTAGGATGTTGGATACATAAGGATCTTGTAGTATTCCCCAGTTTTCCCAGTGTAGTTGAAGGCGTCCACCCACTTGAGAAGGTTGTACTGGAACGGCTGGGGGTGGAAGACTCCAGTCGTTCCGAACCTGAATTTCATCGTTTAAATCCACGGGCACCTCTGGATGATCTGCCTCTAGCTGATCCTCCTCTAAATTTGCTGTATGGGCGACAAAAAGAATCCTTGGGATCTTTAGCTGCAGCTAGTTTCTTGTCCCGTGCTTTCTGTAGCCCTGAAAACTTAGACTTGCCCGAGTATCTCTGTGTTGACTGTTTAATGACGTTCGCTAAGGTATCCATGGATCTGATCATAAGTACCTCTCTGGAGTCTTTAGATACTTCTTTGGAGACCTTGTTTATGTTGCCACCAAATAGTAAGGGCGATGACCATGGAGCTGTGTAAAGAGATTCTGTGAATTGCTTATCCCAAGAGCAGGAGGCTAGTAAACCTTGCCGACGAGCCATGGTAGTAGTTTCAGTAAGCGCTGATAGGTGCTCTGTAAGAAATTGGTGGTCTCTTTTCTGCATGAGTAGAGCTGAGTAGATCATTCTATCTTCCTCCTCTGTAGAAGAGAGTCTCATTAATAGTTCTAGATCTATTTAATCCGAAGAACATCCTCCTGGAGATGGTATCTAATTGGGCCAGTTTGCGATCGTCTACTCTGTAACTTCTGGACTTGGCATCACTGATAAGTTTAAAGTTGTCATCAGTATCCTGGGCCTTGAAAAAGGGTTCCATATTGTGTCCAGCAAATTTCTTGGCATTGAAGACCGGGAAATGTGTAGATTGAAGTTTTGAAGATTTGGAGCAGGCTGTATCCAGATTAGCTGGTACGGCTGCGATCGGGTCAATAGGAGGTAAGGTGATATTGTCTACATCATCATCCTTCATCAGGTAAGTCTGAGTTGCATCCTCGTTCTTTGATGGGGAAGCAAGTTGTAATTCATTCACCATCCAATATCTTATCTCAGCATCTGAGAAAATGATACCATCCTCCTCTTCTGACGTAGGGTCATATGTCGGAGTCCTAGATCTATAGGAAGATCTATGAGAGGACTGCGGAGAACGGACTGACGAGTGGCTAGTGTAAGGAGACCTTGGAGGAGACATCCTCGGCGAACGCTGGGGGCTTCGCGAAGCTCTTCTAAATCTTCTAGGCGAGGTAGATTTGGAGCCACTTAGCCTTCGCGACCTTCGCGAAGGTATCGAGTCAGTGTCCGAATCGACATATGAGCGCTTGCTTCGCGAACGACCTCTGTGATGTACAGGGTGAGGGTTTGGCGAAGCGCTCCTTCCCCGCGAAGCCCCTCGCAATAGGTGAGTCTCTAGCTCCTTCGCGGAGGCGGCCTGGGACTTCCTATGCGAAGTGCTTGCTACGGGCTGGGATGCCCTTCGCAGAGGCGCGTTTGTGGGCTCTGGGGCCCTACGCGAAGCCAAGGCGGGCTCTGGGGCCCTGTATGACTTAATATGGGTTGGGCTCTGGGGCCTCTGTAAACCGTAACGGTCCTCCATCAGCCTCATGATTTGGTTGACCAGGTCATCTGAGGCAGTCTGCGCTGACGGTGAGGGTGGCCTCTCTGTGAAAGTGACGGGACCCTCAGTCATAACCTCTGGTGTCAGCGTAGGCATCTCTGGTTGCGTGTTAATCTGCGCTGAGGTGACAGTCGCAGATACAGGACGTTTCTTATGACGAACATCTGGAATGATAATCGGAATGTCATCATCATATAAAGAGGGAAACTCAGGCATGCCACCAGCCGGTGGTGAGTCGTCAGTCAACAGTTGACAGGGAATATTAGCTTCTGATCTATTAGCCATGACTGAAGATTGTTTGCGAGATTTATCTGCCTTCCGTCTCAAAACGGAACATAAATATTTATCAAAGGCAGAAATTGGTAAATTAATACACAATTTACGAGAAACAAAAGAACATGGAGTAATGCAACTAGGGCATTTTAAATGTGGATCAGTAGCGGAATAACGTAGTTTACAACCTGTGCAGATTCTCATTAACGTAAACTACTGAACAATCACGGCGAACCGTGAATAAACAGCAGAAACACAATTAATAATCAATGCAAGTTGAATAAGGATACTAGTAACACCTCTATACTAAGTATAAGAGGTACTAAACTAAATATAAATAAAGGATATAGTGTGTTGGGAGACACAGGCGCTCTCACGTCCAGCTCACTGGGCGAAGAAGGAGAGAGTGAGGCACATGGGTGGAGGTGGCGCCCTCGTTCACGCGCTTGGGCAAGGGAGGTAACTCGTGGTGAGTACTAATTAGTGATTTCTTTATTGAAGGGAACTTCAATTGGGAGATACACGTGTTCCACTATGTTCGCAAGAAGAAGAAGACAAGCAATAAGCATGAGTCAGGATAAGGAAAAATAATTAAACTCCTGTAACTGAGACTGCTGACTTAATGCTAGGTTTACACCATGTTCCTGGAGGCCACGGCAGCCTCGTTTCGCTGAAAAGTACTGAAATGGGAACAAAAGGGGATGGATGTGAGAGAGCGTAGGGGTACTGGATGAGCAAACATGACAGTCCGTGATTGCCGTGCCAGATGTTTAAACTGCTGAAAAATTTGCACGGCAGTCACGTTACTAATGAGAAACCTAGTAGGCCGTAGTAAAACAGAGGGGAAACGCAACAAAACGTGACAGCACATAATAGGCCGTAACAAAACTTGTAGACGGTTCGTAGTGGGACAGGAAGCATGTGTATCCCGTCATCTCACGGTCCTTTCATGTTTTGTCACGTTCGGCCACGTTTGTTTGGCGTGTTGTCACGGTTGTTTCACCCTTGCTGCCCGTTTTGTATAGATTCTAACGGCAAGCTAGGTTGTATGGTAGATGATTCGTCCGTTCTATCATGGTGCACCCAGGCGTGATATGGTTTACAGGGCCGGCGAGATATGGCACGTTGCGTTCTCTGGCATTCCCTCTCTGCAGCTGATGCTGGCATTCTTGCTGACGGAAAGACTCGATCTATGTCCCCAGCAAACATTCAAATCATCTTCATCTTGGGGTTCAAGCTGCTTGTGGGCACAATCGTATTGACAGAACGTGCAAAACGTGTCAAAACCTTGATCAAAACATGAGAAACATGAGGGAACCCATCAGAATGGTCGGGAGAAAAAGTAATGGCACGCGTAGTGGACTACGGGCGAAGCCGTACTGTGCCTTTGAGCTTCCGGCACTCAGCAGCCTGTTTATCCTAACAGCCCATAATGGATACCATGATAGACCATGAGAAAACTTAGTAGGATGAAGAAAACTTGACTTTGGAGGAAGACTTGGCCAAAATCCCATGGTACACTATGTTTTGGGGAAACGTGGCTGCTGTGGCTGCCGGGAACTTAAGCCCCATTCACATGCTTAAACTTTACTCATGTAAGTAAATTTGCACATGTGTAAATATACATACGTGTGTAATAGTAAATTTACTTTGCGTTCACATTGAATTTATGTAGTGTGAGTAAACTTGAAAGTGTAAATATTTAATGCATTAAATTGTCTCATTATTCCTCTAAACTTCAGCAGAGAAAGATGTTCTCTTATCACTGGCGCTTTAGAAGACAAACACAGTATTAGATATGTACTGCTGTAGCAATAGGTCTGTCACAAGAAAGACCGTCTGTATGCTGGAACGACATGAATAAACCTAGTGACGACAAGAATGGTACGATATTTTCCCGAATAAATAAAGGGGTTTTCAATCTTATCTGTACACAACTGCAGGATTACTTAAAAGCTAGTGACCAAGCTGTTCGCCAACCTTTGGATGTACGAATGAGTGAGTGAGTGAGTGAGTTTAGTTTTACGCCACTTTTAGCATTATTCCAGCAATAACGCGGCGGGGGACACCAGAAATGGGCTTTACACATTGTACCCATGTGGGGAACCGAACCCAGGTCTTCGGTGTGACGAGCGAACGCTTTAACCACTAGGCTACCACCATTTGTCAGACCATATGTGATGTTTTGGTTATGTAATATGTAACTTTTACCCTAAATGAAGATGACATGACACAATTTACTCGCAGTGCAAATTTGCACATGTGTGAATATACTTTTGCACCTGGTCCTGACCACATGTAAATTTGCTCCTAGTGTATATTTACATACGGAGTAAATGCGTTCACATGACACATTTACACACATATGTATAGTTTGCTCATGTGTGTATTTATACATAAGTGTGCAAACAGGTGCATGTGAACGGGGCTTATATAGTTTAACCCTAGCATAAATGAAGTTACATCCATGTCATTTAACAGGTCGTACAGAAGAAATTGAAAAAAGCAACAAAGACAGACTATGAAAACATATTAATTCAAATGAACTTATGTCTTTAAATGAAACAATGATAATACATAATCATAATGGAAATTTTTTTACTTATGGTAAGTAAATTGGCTTATGTAAACGTCATAAAACGAATTTTCTCACATAAGTATTTATACTCCTGGAGTAAATTTACACCTGCTTCGGAGGTAAAGTAAAAGTATACTTACTCCTGCAAATGACACTTTTGATTTACTCCTTTAAGTAAATTGCCTCAATATCTTCAATTGTACTATTTACTTACCTAAGCAAATATACTCCTGTAAGTAAATGGGTATATGTAAAAGCGGCTTAAAGGCAATGAAATACTAAAGTGTTTTTTCCCAACGGTTATGGAATCATAAAAATGATCCAACTTCATTTGTTTTAAGCTTTAAAATCAGCAATGAAGGACTTTAAAACTGAACCCAACAAATGTGCAATAAACTGGTGTCTTTCTATTTGGCATTTCAAAGAGATATGATCAGCACTCAAAAGGAACAATATCTTACCAGCTCCTCATCATCATCTTGGAAATAGAACTGGGAATATTCATCATCGGAGTCATAGTAGTCGCTGCAGTCGGAGTCAAAGTCAAACCCATGGTGGTAGTGGGCGTGGTCACAGTTGCAGTAGGAGGCTCGTGTCTCCCTCTCTGAAACAAAAGGCATCAACCATTCATATGTCTGGTTTACTGACTGACTGAGTTTGGTTTTACGCCGCTTTTAGCAATATTCCAGCAATATCACGGCGGGGGACACCAGAAATGGGCTTCACTCATTGTACCCATGTGGGGATTCGAACCCGGGTCTTCGGCGTGACGAGTCAACGCTTTAACCACTAGACTACCCCACCGCCCCTATGTCTGGTTTAGAATAGATTCATGCAAACTAAACTTGACAATATTCCAACTCTGTGATGGCGGCCTGTAAAAACCAAAAACAAATCTGGACCAGACAACGCAGTGATTAATGATCCATACCTTCGGATGCAATCAACCTAGTAATTGAGTCTGATGCCATGGCATATTGCTGCTTCTCACAAATGGGCAATGATTTCTGGGGAATTAATCAAACTCGGAATCCCCATAGAATATCGTCTCCAGAATGCCTATATGGGCTTAGTACTCTCACCTTTAAGTCTCTGTAGCCCATAATACGCTGCACTCAGTTCCTGAAACCTTTTAGTAGCTTCAGGGTCACTCTGACACTGAAACAAAAAACGATTATATGAAGAAAATACAGTGAATAGTTTGTGAGATGTGTCGCTGACAAGGTGAACATGTACGTTAACAAACTGAAATATTCAATGTGTCGCTGAGACCTTGAAGAATACATGAAGGTCACCAAAATAAACAGGGCCCTGGGCCTTCCCTAGATGAAGCTTGGTGTCGAATGTGAAGAAAATACAGGAAACAGTTCTTGAGATATCTTGCTGACATGGCAGCGGTGGAAACAACATTAAAATTGCTAGTGTACTCCGGTACAGTGGCACATGTAAAATCACTTTCCCGGATAATTTTTTCACTATACCGTCCGTATTCTTGTTGATATTTTAAATAAACAACATAATTAACATTGGAAAGTCAACTGGACAACAGTACAGTGTGATATATACTACAAGCAAAAAGTATGGGAACACCCTCAAATTTGATCGCCATGCACAAACCTGACAGTGGTGGTTTCATTAATTCATAAAAGTGAAATGTATCTGTGACATGTGCTTAGTGGACACTTTAAAAGACATGTTAAAACAACAGTTGAAGCAATTGCTTCAATATTCGTGAAGTTTTGATGAAATTAAAAAGTGTCCCAAACAGCAAAAAACGAAGGTATCAAAACACACCTGCACTGTGTCTGACTCAAACGCCCAAACACAACAACTTAGTGCACGAGAAAGACAGACTTCCCATGCATGTTGTGGCAACTTTTCCTTAAAAGAAACTGCAGACAGTGTTGAAGCCTCACAATTACCCCAACATGCCTCAGCGTAGACCATTAAACGACCACAGAAGAAGCAGGGCCATTGCATGGCTAGAGGATGGTGAATCCTTAAGAAGCGTTGGTGGAAATTAGTCTTCAGGTGTCCCCTTCCGTCATTCATAGGCTGAGGGAACGGTTCCAACCCACCGGTCGAGTACAAGACAGAGCTCGATCAGGAAGGCCACGAAAAAACGACAAAGGGCAGGCGATCGATATGTTGTACTCCACGCCCTTAGGAACCGCTTCACGACTGCCAGTGCTCTACGGCTGCAGCTCAGACATGCAACCAACACAAGCGTCAGCATCTCAACCATCAGGAACCGTCTCAGAGCTGCTAATGTGCGGTCCGCGTCGTCCAGCGATGCGTCCTCATCTCTGCCCACATCATAGAGCTGCAAGACTGGCGTGGGCCAGAGCACATTTGAGATGGAATCAGCAACAGTGGTCGGGGTACTCTTCACTGACGAGTCACGATTCTGTCTTGAGCACAACGATGGAAGGATTAGGGTTTTCAGGAGGCGTGGAGAGCGTTACCATGATGCTACTGTGAGGGAGAGGAACAGATTTGGTGGTGGCTCTGTGATGGTTTGGGGAGGCTTCAGCTTACATCACCGTACTCCTCTGTACCATGTACAGGGCAATTTGACTGGATTGAGGTACGGGATGAGATTTTATGTCCACTGGTTCTTCCAGCTTTGAACACCATTGGTGCGGAGCACAGCTGCAAGATGACAATGCCAGACCACATCGAGCTCGAAGTCGTTAGAGACTTCTTGCAACAAAATAATGTGAATGTGATGCAGTGGCCAGCTTAGTCACGGATCTTGCTCCAATTGAACATCTATGGGACATTCTTGGGCGACGTGTTAGAGACAATCATGGAATGGCACCGACTCTTCAGGTTCTTGTACAGTGGCTCCAGATGGAATGGCAGTTGATTCCCCAAGCTACCCTCCGCACCCTTGTCAGGTCCATGAGGCGCAGATGTACAGAATGCATCAATCAGCGTGGAGGACACACCCACTATTGATACTGTGACTTTCAGTTTTGACCCCTATCCTCTTCCGCTGCTTGTACTGGCATTGCAGTCAATGATATCTGCCCATAAATCCATTACATTGTAAGAACAAATAATGTTTTAGATACCCTTGTAATAAACCGACACTGCCACTTTACATTTACTTTGTTATACTTTGATATTTGGGTGTTCCCATACTTATTGTCGGTAGTATACAAATTTGCTTGCCCGACAGAAAAAAACACTGGACTCTGACGTCAGCCAATGGGTTATTTCCACCCCTGCATGGGTAAAATGTTAACGTAGCCTTGTGACCTTAAAATGAAGGTAAGGTCACCAAACCTGACTGGGACCTTTCGCATACTGTGATGAACCTAGGGACCAAATATGAAAAGAATCTGGTCAAGGGTTCTCAAGATATTCCAATTTGTACGGACGGAGCCTAACACCATATCCCCCGCTTCGCACTAAACGTGCGACGGAGGATAATGAAATTGACTATTGAATTTCTTTGAGTGGCATTTTAGAAGTTGGGAAGTACAATATAGAACAAACTTTTTGGATAACAACTTCTTTTATTCGTGAGTGCAACATTTCGATACAGATTTTTTACATTCTAGTATTGGAAATACGCAGGAATAGAAGATACTTGTTACACTATATCCTGAAAAATGAAATATAAAAAAGACTGGTGACTAGCACTGACTACTTCTACTAGCTGCAATCAATCTTGAGCCCCGCGACATTGAGGAGGTAAACATGACTGCTAGATAAGGAGACACTTTTGTGCACAAATGAGTGATGACTATCACTGGTCACTTATGCCTGTGACTGGTATGTCTGGAAATCTTTCTTGTCAGGTACACCGACAATCGTCAGCAGAGAGATAGTGTAATTCATGTCGGGGAACCATCAAGAGGTGCATATGGTCCCCATAATTAAGGCGTAACTTTGGTTGCTGGTCATCTAAATACAGGTTAAATTTATAACATGTCATTTTCTAATCATCCGCGATTTGTTGGGTTAAAAATAACCCAGTTAGTACACATCCCTCAATATTCAACTGTTTAAGTTACAAAAAATATACATTGACCCACACATTGTGCAGATGGACTCGAATATTTACCTACCACCTTCATATAGCTGGTGAAAAGTGGTATATTGCGGTGTGCTGCTTTAAACAACAAAATAACCAACCAAACAACCAACCAACCAAGTAGGGGGGATGCTATCATTTAATATCTCCACCTATCTAGTCCTGTCTTGGAAAAACATGCATATCAAATTATGTAAAGACAACCAGGATTTTACCTTGACCTAAAACACGAGGTGCAGTCAAGAATATCATGGGTGTTGAGAGGAGATATAATATCCTGTAAAGTACTGAAATGATCTACTGTCACAGTTCTGTACAATTTATTAATTCTGGTCAAGAATTTGGTACAATAATTATTATTGTGTGTTCCTCAGCAAACATTAAAATTTAAATATCTCCTATGTCCCACATTAGCCAATTTCCGCATCACAAAACTCTTGCAACACAGAAAATTACAATTTAAATACAAACCTTATCAGGGTGATGTTGTAGGGCGAGTTTCTTGTAGGTCTTCTTTATGTCATCTGCAAATAAATTATGAAACATGCACACTGGAGCTAGAGTTTCTGTATCTCACCCAAAGTTCACTCAACATGTACTACAATTCAAACTAGTCAATACATGATATTCTTGTGAACACTGATGCTTCTTCAATAGTATTTAACAGCATGGTCAAAAGTGCAAAGGTCAATATATGAAAAATATATGAGGAAAATATGCAACGAACATTTCACTAACCCCAAAATATATTTTGACTTGTCAAGAAATAACATCCGTCTCATATTTTGGATTACACTTTCTCAGTAACGTACAGCTTCTAGTACTTGTGTAGGGTTGAGTCTCGTCCATGAATTGAACCCACACCCTCAGATTCAGGCACCCAATCGCCAGCACACAAAGTCAGACGTTTAACCCGCTCAGCCACAGTGGCTTCCACAAAATGGAAGTCGGATAACTAGTAGTCTGGACCACAGACTTTGTGTACCCCTCTGAAAAGTTTAAATTGGCATGGCCCCCACCAGACTGAAGCCTAAAAGGAAGCACCAATCTGTATCAGTTTTCCAAGGTGTTAAGTCACCAAATTAATTCAAAATATCCTATCCATCCAAAAATACAGCTTCAAGAAATGAAAACTCTTGGAAGCCATCTGATCAACAGAGATTAAGAGTATTGCATACCATCAGCCTACAAAGAGTCAATCAATTAATAGACTATCAACTAGTCATCTAGCATCCAATCAGCATTTTTTGACGAATAGATAAACCCCTCACAGAATATATTTATATATAGGAATATTTACACAATGTTATTGATTTTGTGAAATCAATCATTTCTTTTTCAATTCATAAGAATAAAACTGATATCATATAATAGTAAATAAAAGTGAAACATTATCCAGTGAAAAAGTCACTATCCCTTTTGACTCTGTTTTTGAGGGTGAACATTGGAAACCTTTTTATTTATTGCAATTGACTGCACAAACACCCATACTACAATAATGGTTTATAGAACTGGGGTTGAACAGCCTCTGCGTATACCTTGAAAAAAACTGAACTTCAACCATCAAGTGATTTAGCATGGAGTTAAAACCAACAGAGATCAGCAGCTAAAACAGCACTGGGTGTAAACAGCCAGCAGTTGATGTCTAAGGGAGTTGACTTCCTATGAATACCAGCACCCATCTCCTCATTCTAGGTGTTCAGAGTTTTATCACCTGCAAAGGGAATAGTTTAAAAAGGCCAAAGGACAAAAGGGCCAAAACTGAAAAAATCAATAAGGTCAAAGAAAAGTCAAAAGAACCATGGGAAAGTCTAAAAGAGCCATAAATTAAAGTCAAAAGGGCCAAACTAAACAACTCAGAATGTCTCAGTGTTGTTTATTTAAAACATCTACGAGTGGTTAAGTGTTTATTTAATGAGTATAGTCAACAATACAACTTTTTATATAATGATTTATATCAATCATTGTCAGTTCAGACAGAATGCTATGTAAGACGAATAGTTCAACCTCAATTCAAATTGGTAACCATGCCTGTAAAATGTGTCGCTTGTGACAAGACAGTTAGAAGAAAAAAACATGCCCTGATATACCAAAAGTGGCTGTAGTGAACTTTAAAGATGTGTGGATTATGAACAGATGTGTGACAAGTTATTGATACATACTATATATTATTACTATTATTACTACATATTGATAGAAATATATTGACAACGCAATGTAGATTGCTGAAACTGGTAATATCTGTTATGGGAATCAATTCCACATATAATAAAACGTATAAAATACATGTTAGTTTGTATGTTCTTATTTGACTTTAGGCCTAAAAAAAATGTTGTGGTTCCGATTACCCGACTGACCCTAGAATTCTGGTGTCATCCCTATATTTTTTAAGTGGGATGAATAAAATATGCTTTCAAATCCCGCTGTTTTTTCCCGGCGCCAACAGATATTGGTCCTTCTGATAGAGAAAGTCAATATGATGGCCGCAAGGTTGATTGAATAAACAATTACACCTTAATAAATGTGTTATTAGTTCGTAATATACTTCTTAAAAAAACATGTAAAAAAATATTCCGACCTACCTACTCTAAATTTTAAAGAGGTGTGGGAACCACAACATTCTTTATATTGGCCTTAATCTATGGCCCTTTTGACTTTCCTTTGGCCCTGCAACCCTCTGAAACGTTTGGTCAAAACTTTCTGGTCGATTAGTCTTTGTCATCAGCGGGTCATAGGCACGTGAAGTGAAATAGAAAAAACAAACCATTTATGTATACATATGTACAGATGATATAAAGTATTTGCTCACACAGTAAACAAGTAAAATACAGACATGGGTCTGTCATGATCATATCGCGCACCGGAAGTTTCAGACCCTTGCAAACAGTCATCAGCTTGTCAAATTCGTAAACTTAACTTGCTACAAATGTCGAACCTTACCACAGATAAACATTTACTTTCATTTCGCTTCTTGAGATGATAAACAAACATGTTGTGTCTTTACGGCCAAATTTGGGTATCAATAAAAACCAATTTCACCTCTCAACATTTGAACTAAGAGTTGCAGACAGAAATATTAACCCCCACCAGTGAGTGTATAACATAATGTCAGTCAAAATTATCCCTGGATTTAGAAGTGACTGACGCCCTCTCATTGTCTTTCATTGAATGTTTGTGTATAACATACCTTCTGTGGCGTCAAATTTCAATCCCAAAATTCGCAGGTACCGTAACTTCTCGTCGCTGAAGAGCGCCATTTTTTTCACAGTCTCGTGATGTCGCATGGAATCACGGTACGGGCGAGTTTATTTGGAGTAGGTGGGGTGTCAAAGACTGAATATACATAAATGTGTTCTCCTGGCATGTGATACTGAATATGTCTATTATGTTCTCCAGTGATGTGATACTGTTGGTATTTTAGGTACAATAATCTGTGATCTAGATTCAGATTTCATCAATAAAGTATTAGATCTAATCATTGTAATTGTTTCAAAAATGTAAACATATTTGGTTCAATGTATGACATAGAGGTGCTAGATTAAATTTGAAAATGGTTCATTTATTTTATTTTTTTCTTACACTGCAAACCTCATGAATTTCAAAGTAAAGAGTTTACGGCACGAACCAATTAGCACTGCGCTGTGTGTTACAGTATTGCTTTATGATTAGCTGACACGTGTGGTATACCTGTAATGTTGTTCAAAGTCATCATAATAACTCACTCACTCATGATTCCTACAAAAATGCAGGGAATAAATAAAGAAATAGGACTTATGTAATACATCACACAGCACTGAATATGTGTTTCATTCGTATATCATCAGGAAAACTACCAGATAATAGTATTATGATGTTATATGAGTTTTCCTGTTAATATGATTGAAAGGTAGTATACAGTGTTTAAGAAGTACAGTTCGCTCTACCTCCACGTATCTAGTGTAATAGTATGGTTTTGTCCTGAATTATTAAAGCACTAGGACGCTAGTTCTTTTAAACACTATACATGTGGGTAGAGCGAACATGTATTTTCTTTTCTAAGAGGCAAAATTTAATACACATCAACGATTAATCTACTAAAGCAGAAAACAAACAGAAAAGTGTTTGTCGGTGAACAAACTTCACAATCCTCGTTCAGGGCTAACTGACGTGGTGTCCTATTGACGTGTCTGCCCCCCTTCGTTAGACGCACGTTACCAGGAAAACAAATGATAAACAGTTCGAAGACGGTTAACGTTCGGGTTAAACATCTCCTCTACATTATATTAATTCCATCTGTGATTATCGTAAACCATATGGGGCAAGACGAACGTCGCACTTCTACTACCAACGTAAATTTAGAACAGTAAATCCAGATGAAACTGATGTATTGTCCTCGTACTTACACTAATAGTCCAGGGCAAAAGTGTACTTTATTACACTATACATGGGGGTAGAGCGAACTGTCATTCTTAAATAAAGTACTGTCGGCATATTTGATCTTTCAGCGAAACATCGATCTTAGAAATTCCAAGACAACCAATGATAAATCACTGAAAATACGCATTGGTGGCTAATGAAATGACTCATGCAAATCCCTATTCCTGCACGACCGAGCGTTGACTTTTTTTCATGTGAACAGTTGACTCACCATTGGATAATGATTCATAAATACCTGATAATGATATTGTCGGAATCGTACAATGGACCCTGTTATAGCAGGTAACTAAGGTCACGATCTTAGATTTCACCGGTCTTATCCCGGGGAGATACAAGCAAGACTATATAGTGTTAAAAAACTTAGGTAAGACTATTGTAAGCTCGATTAAAATTATGGGCATTTTAGGTTAATTTTGATTTTGTGCGTATTAAAGGCGAGATTTACGTGTACCTCCTACCTGCTTTACTTTCTGAGACAGAATATTGTTTTTGGTCGCCTCTTCTTTGATACGATCCAGCAATATATAAAAGAGTATGATACCTGATAACCATAGAAAAGCATCGTATTAAATGTCTCAAAATAGATAGGTGGCATGACCACCCGAAGATCGACAGGACTGGATATTATTTGCAAATTGTTATGACATGCCGTGTACTTCCCCAGTTAAATTCCCCTAAAGGATTATCTTATCTCCCAGCCCGATCCCAACCATCGTCTGCGACACCCGTCCTGGTTTTGCTTTTGAGACGACCCCTCCTATCTGTTTCTTTTTATAGTGACAGCGAGACTCCATGGTAGCTACATCCTAAATAGTTTCAGCTTAAAAGTTATTATATTTTACGTCAACTATCGTTTATAATGAAGCTAAGTCTAATTTCAAAATGGGCATTTAATAAGTGTCCTTTGTAATACAATATCATCGCACACTAATTTGCATAAAGCCATGGTCTGTTCTAAATAAGTCGCTTTGGACTTTAGGAAAACCCTGCATTGCTCATTTCTACACTAATCTCTCATCAGTAAAGTCCTGTTTTAACGTTTCCTATCTCCCAACCACTGAGACTGTAGTTAGGCCGAACTTAGTTTAACAGATATTTCACACTTTCACATATCAACTACATAACTTGTAGAGATAAATGTGAAAAAAAACCCCAGTTATTTATCTATTTTCGACAGTACTTTAGTGCAAGGTAAGGATGTGATCCGTGGGATGACTCTGCACCTTGCTCCGTTGAGCCATTTAGATACATAGTCATACATTTATAGCCATGTATGACTTCTCTAGGAAAACGAATTCCATACGTTGTTATTTATAAGTGCTCTGTACATTTGCACTGAATAAGCCGAATTCTGTATAAAGTTTTACGATCGTTTTTAAAAATGAAAGATACTTTACCTTCTCTTAGTCCAATGTGAATTCTGCTCGTCTTATATGAACTAAGAAGCAAATGTGGTGGTAACAATGTAGACAGAGTGAAACCCCATGATCGCCGTTATAGACCCCGTCGTTTAATTAGTACCACCGTTATTAACCCGTGGACGTATGGTAGTACAGTGTTGAGAGATGTACATTTTACATTGAAAAGTAATGAAGTATGATTTTTGATGATAAACAGAATCTCACCCTCGTGTCTGCTGATATCAATTATATCAACACTCGTTGATAAAGGTAAAAATATCCTCGGCAAGCCACGGATATTTGTAACTTTATCAACTCGTGTTGATATAATTCAGTAGACACTTGGGTGAGATTCTCTATTTGTTCCCTGCTCCGAGCGACGTCTATGGAACGTAACACAATAAAATGACGTCATGTTTTCCATGACGTCAGATTTAGTTTCGGCAAGCTTGGATGAAAATGGCTGGTGATCGGACGCTAGCGTCGCTTTCCGACAGATTGATGGACCGAGATGAATTAATAGAGCGGGAGGAAAATCCAACGGATGAATTTACTGTGACACGCAAGTATTTGAAAGTATGAAAAACGAAAACACAAGAAGACAAGCATTGTCACTAAGGTGACATAATCCCCCGCCGCAAATTATCAAATCAAACTTAGAAAGTAATGAAAGTGAAGGTTGTAGTTTAAGATGAAGTTAAATGTCAACAAGAAGACAAAGTCATCAATATCCCCCGCAATGGCAAAATACTCTTCATGAATATGTCTACGAGTTATGATTATGTCAAATGTTTTGGTGTGCATATAGAAAAGTGGAAGGAGGGTATAGAAAGGTTTTAAAAGTTCTGGGCCCCGTTCCACAAAGCGAAAGAAAGGAGCACAACTACCAATTTCAATCTAAGTCAAACTTGTTGCCATGGAAATGCCAAAAATATTTTATTCAGAATTCCAAAACTACCAAAAGGCACCAGTACACCACCAGATGTATGTATGTGCCAAGTTTGGTGAAGAAACACTGAACGGTTTTAGAGTTCTGCTCCAGAAAGGAGCACAACCACCAATTTCAATCTAAGTCAAACTTGTTGCCATGGAAACGCCAAAGAATAATTTAATCAGAATTCCAAAACTACCAAAAGGCACCAGTACACCACCAGATCTATCCATGTGCCAAGTTTGGTGAAGAAATATTGAACGGTTTTAAAGTTCTGCTCCGGAAAATACAAATGTGCACGGACGCACGGAAGCAAAACGCGTTGCGGGGGATAACAAAAGCATGACCAGTCAACCTGCACCTTCCCAAGATGATGCTTTGTGTCAAATATGAAGAAAATACAGTGAATCGTTTGTGAGATGTCTCGCTGGTCTCGCTGACAAGGTGAACATGGAGGTAGCCTAATACTATATCCCCAGCTTTGGAATTTATGTCATCAAACACATATTTGATTTTAAACACATTTTCTATGTTAATTCCTAACAAACCGACATAACATTAAAGTTTCATCAGAACCGTTGAATGAAAATCAGAATATAAAGCTATAGCTAGATAGTATATGGTCTGTCACGTGCAATATTTTATCAACATAGTGTTACTAAAACAAGAAGATACATATGTCATTCTATACACATATAATTCTATCATACACATCCTCTTGGGTGGTCAGATGATAGGTTGTTTGTTGAGACAAATCTCTGTAAATGAGTACTTATGTGTAGAGGTTGAATGGTGTTAAACTTTTGTAAAAAATGGATAAATGAATTAACACATATAATGACTCACAGCACTGACTGATGGGCACATTTTATAAGGGCTAAATTTTCTATTTCAAACTATGATGGCTGGTATTCATGCTGCAACCGACTAATTGGATAACAGGTGTATGGTACATTAAGTATGCGTCAGAAACATAGTGTCTGAATTTAAAAACAAAATGAAATGTGTGAAAAACTGCTGATCAAAACGTACTATTCATATTTATATGCTGAACATCATTGAAAACGCACCCCTTTAAAAGTTCAGATTATTAAAAGCACGTGTAAGGAATTAATAATTTTTGAGTGGATAAAAACAGATGGACGACTGACAAAAACAACAACACAGAAAAGACTCTCATTCATTGAAATGTTCCAGTCAGAAAGGATCAAACACACGTGGGGTCAAATCAAAAAGTCAATATCGCGTGTGACCGCCATTTGCATTGACACATACAGTTCAACGTATCCTCATTGAGTCAATAAGCGTCCGAATAGAGTTCTTGAGGATGGCATTCCACTTCTGCAGTAGTGCAGCATCAAGTTCCCGGATGTTTCGCAACTGTTGTCGCCGCGAATGACTTTGACCAATTTCGTCCCACAAGTGCTGAATATGTGTGTGTGTGTGTGTGTTTTGTTACATCTGGCGACTGTGCTGGCCAATGAATAACCTGGATGTGTTGCTGGACCAGATACTGCATGGAAAGTCTTATTGTGTGTGCCCGTCCGTTGTCCTGTTGAAAAGTATGGACATCTTGGTGGTGATGGAAGACAGATACGATTTGATTCTGAAGAAGCTGCTCACAGGTAATAAAGGGCATTAACTCTCCCTTGACAGACATGAAGGCAGTCCTGTGATTGTAATTTATTCCATCCCAGACCATGACACTCCCACCACCCACAGGTCTGTCTGAACCACACACTCATCAGCATAACGTTCACCACGTCTACGCCAAACACGTAATCGCCCGTCAGCATTACGTAGATGAAGACGTGACTCGTCAGTGACTACCAAACCATGCCATTGTTGTAACCTTTACTGAAAATGCCTGCTAGCCCATTGTATACGATCGTTACGGTGTCTTTCAGTCAGAATTGGTCCAACGTAAGGGCGTCGAGCATGGAGCCCTGTAGCGTGTAGACGGCGTCGCAGCAGTCGGCATTGTTCAATCACTGATATGGACAAGGTCAATATGGCGATCCTGATGGAGCGTCGTAACACGTTGTTGCCAAGGTCATTGAAGGTCACGGGTGCTCCCTGTCTACTGATGTCGTCTATGAAGCCTAACGATGGTGGAGTGGCCAAGTCCAAGTTGTCGAGCAATATTCCTGCTGCTGGTGCCAACCTGAATCATGCCTAGTGCACGTTCTCGTGAGGTGTTAACCTCGGCATCTCGTTACACAATCGTTAGTGAAGCAATGAGAATCGGTTCTCATACACCTGCTTTTATTGTCACAGTCAGTATGATTTCAGAATGAAATTCGCGCTTTTTTCAGGGCGTGACTGCATGTTGATGCATTTTGGAATTAAAGAGTCATACTGTGGACAGGAATTTGTTCCTAAAGCATTTTCTCAACTCGACATGCCCTTCGACTTCATGTGAGTTATATTCATTGATCATTGTCATGCTGAAATCCATCTTGAAGAAAATATGGACAATTTTAGACTGGTGCGTTTTCAATGATGTTCAGTATACACGTATTTATAGGCTACATTCTACGCAGAATTTCATCAATTGTCAGGGATGTGTAATAATCACAAATTTGCGATAAAGGTCTTCAGGGGGATACAGGTCCGTTGCTTGGTTGGCGGTGTATCTCCGATTTTTTTTACATTGAGGTCGGTGGTAGTATGAGAACTACTTGTTAAATTTGAATGTGGCAATAGTTGAAGAATTGCCGTCGGAAATAACATAAGGGTTGATATATAAAGTGAGCTTACATTATTTCATAGATGCTACGACACCCGAGATTTACACTGTCTCGTGTTTTGTCGTAGGAAATGATGTAACAATATACCAATTTTTGATGGCGTTTTCCCCTTGTCTTCTATGGTGTCAATTCGTATTGCGCTTGGAAATTAAACAAACTGTGGACCTGCAACCAGTGTGCTACCAGTGGACGACAGCCTTTGACCGGTAGCCAAAAAAAAAAAACTACAAAAGGTGATAAATCTCTCCAAAAATAAAGAAAGTGCCAGTTTTGAAGAACTGACTTTGTTGTAAAAAATATTCGCCGGCCCCTCATCAGCACCAGTTTGGAAATGAGAGACATGAAAGAGAATGTGGATGGCCTAATGTAAGGATGGACAAATAGGGACCTGCTCCCTTCGATAGCACCTGGTAGGTGGTTTAAGCCCGAACTTGGTAACCACTGCCTGGACTATTAAAAAATCATGCCATAACTAAGGTGAGTTAGGAAGAAAACCCCAACACAGAGTTGTTAAAAATTTCTTTATTAAAACTGCAAAAAGAATTGTTCAAATGTTGAAGCATTGTTCATATGTCATTCCAATTGAAAGTGGTTTAATAACTTACATAAATTAGACTTAAGACAATTAAAGTTCAGAAAGCTGAAATCAAATTGGTTCATCACCAAGTGATAATGACACAAAGAGGAGCTTTTACCATTAGTAAAGAAACAGAATAAAACAGCTGAGCATAAAATCTATTCAAACTGGACTAGAGAACATTATTTTCACCCTGCATAGGCATTAATTACATATCTTTCTAAAGTGATTTGTATATTTAGATGTAGGATCTTTGGCTTGCACTGGAGGATATTCAAAACTCATTTTAGTTTTAAATTAAGATGAAATTCATGTTTTATTGTTTGTAAATATTATATCGAAAAAAGTTTATTACAGCAGACAAGTGCAAAAGCGTGATACATGTACTTGGCAGTGGTATCCATACTATATACGTCTTACATGCAGGAAATCTTCTATTGTATAACAACAAATCATCCTGGATTATCAGGTTTATCATCCCTCCATTTTCTTGGATGAGCCATTCACAACCAACTTCCTCTCTGAAAATAACGTTACAACCTCCATTGCTCCTATCTCTAACATGGCACATAGCTTCTCTCGCTTCTAAGTGTCATGACGTTTGAATCTGTCTCAAGATGAAGCTATGGTCAAGGGTATATATAAACAAAGACATAACACACTCGTAAATCAAGGATGATCAGAAAAATGAATTTCTCTCCTTTCATATATTGTATGTTTCCTTTAAGCTACACAAGTATCAGCTATTTATTTTCACCTGATGGCATGAATAATGATCAGAATACATTTGTAATTATGTCCTAAACTAACCACTGTCCAGAGAGAATGAACCAATCACTAGACTTCACCAATGGACCAAATATGAAAATAACAAAGAATTCCACAAGTTCTAAAGCTGACCTCTCCTAAATGTTAAACTTGCCTGTTTCTGGTTACATGGCTAATGTTCAATCAAACAAGGATACCACTGAAGCATAACTAACAATATCTGAGCAGTGAAGGACACCATTTCCCATCACTGAAAGTGAAGTTTATTCATGGTCATTTTATATTCAGAATAACCTTGACATTCACTTTATAGAACTTGCCCTGTATGGAGGTATGTATGAAGGTAAGGAAAACTAGTTGTCATTCTTTGATTTCTCAAAATCTCAAAAACCACCAAAAGAGTTGTGCTGATTATTATCAGATTATTAGTTTGCAATTTTCTGCAAACAACCCGACTAGTTTTCATTGGTTTCTTTTTTCCTTTCTACTATCTTTCTCTTCACCATTAAATGTGCAACATACACATTACAGGCAAAGCAAAGAAACATGAAACAACTCCAAGGTTTTGGCAGCAAAAAGGCATGTAGAAGTGTGAGTCATTAAAATGAAGACAAACATAATAAGCAAGGCTAAAGTATCAGAACTGGTAGTTTTCAATCGTACACAAACCTAGGTTGAAAACAGAAAAGCAAGAAGACTTAACAGTGTGAGACAAGGTGGTGAAGTGGAATTCACTTTTCTGTTGAGTAATTAACAAAAGGCTCCCAAAACATAGACCTGAGATCAAAAATAATTATCAGTAATACAGAACTGAAAATAGCCAACTGGGAAAAATGATAAAATATTAATATAAACTAAATGTCTACAAAACCAAGCACAGATGAAACAAGTTAAATGTACATTGCCTTGAGTAAATAGAGGTAATAACAACCACAGAAACAAAGTGTATAAACAAATGTGTCACTGTACATGACTTGGTTATCTAGATTAACCAATGCTTACTGTACATTCCCCTCAACACACATACCAACAAACATCAGCGCTACCAGTACATCACTCTGTAGGTGGTGAAACCACCAAACTATCTGCACCTAATACTTTTCCCTCACTGAAGTGTGCCTACATAACTTAATAAACATATATTCCACTATAATACAATCATTCCTGTTTCACTGACAAGATTTTACAAAAATAATTAGTAACTAAAGCCAAAGTGGAATCTTTTTTAGGATGTCTGCCATGCTTTTGTGATCATGGACCAACTCAGATGGTTCTGTACTGGGAGTGTTTTTGCTACTAAAATAAAAAAAAATCCAAACATAAAATTGCCAAAGTTAGTAAAGAACATGGTTTGCAACTGTCACATGTTGTTTGTAGCAAAAGTCAAGTAGAGCAGTGTTGCTACAATTTTAGTAATGGCGTCATGACATCACAGCACTGAATGACATAATCAGTGGAATGTCACTGCCAAAAACAAATTAAGGAATATATGTAAATGTGCTCATTTTTAAACATTTTCTACAAAATAAGGACATCGGATATATTGAAACTATAATATACCTACACATAATATACCTACACATTTTAATCTCTAGAATATTTTAAAAGGTTAAATGCAATTCATTATATATTTATGCAAAACTGTGAAGACAGAGAGTGATAATTCTTCATATTTTCAATTGGAAAGTCCTATACGTTTGGACTAAAACATCAAAATGCAGAAGTCCTTAATATCACATAAACTCTCAGGAAGAAATTGCTGATACATGTGTTTAAAATGCTTTAAAGAAACCGAAAACAACAATTAAAGAGGCTCATGATTTCACTTCTGTTATCATGAACCAACTTTGGCAGTAGATCTTAACTTTACTCTCATACACCAATCAAAAGACAGTCTTCAGATGTCATCCCGACGCTGAGCACAGTACACTTGATACAATACAAAATACATATTCAAATACATTTTTGATTGCTGATACATGTGTTTAAAATGCTTTAAAGAAACCGAAAACAACAATTAAAGAGGCTCATGATTTCACTTCTGTTATCATGAACCAACTTTGGCAGTAGATCTTAACTTTACTCTCATACACCAATCAAAAGACAGTCTTCAGATGTCATCCCGACGCTGAGCACAGTACACTTGATACAATACAAAATACATATTCAAATACATTTTTGACATATGTCACAACTTCCTGTTCACTGACAAAGCACTGGTTATCTACTTCACAAGAGCCAATCTTCTGATTTGGCAGTAAATGGAATATAAGCACTGGGATATGGAACTATGCCACTGCATACACACAGACAATACAAAAATATAGACACACCCTGACACATCAATGGGGAAAATTACCTGGAAGGTGCTATTAATTTTGAAACTACATTTGATTAATTGCATTGGACATATTGGAAGAAGTCAGTATATCACATGATATGCATCTAGCTACTAACATGACAAGTGACATTGTTAAGCCGTCAATCAGAAAACAATCTATCTTCTGCTTTGAAGAACAATGTAGTTTTCAGAAAGTGTGACTCACATTGCAATAGCCAGTATTTCATTTGAAATCTCATTTTTTTAAATTATAAAGCAAAAATGACGTATGATAAATAGGTTATCACACTTGTGTTTTGGGATGGTTAATATCCTGCATTAGGAATAAACACTATGTGTTTAGCTCGCCAAGGCTAGCTAAATACAATGATTATTCCTTCTGCAGGATATTAACCATCCCAAAACACACTCGCGTGATAACCTATATTCCCTTTCCTCAAGAGGAAGTATGCTGATATATATCCATTTCACTACCTTACAAATTCCACCGCTTTCTTTTGCAACTCTCATTGTATTGTGATTTTGTTTCTGAGTCAGCAATAGAGGGATTCTAGTGTTCTGATTGCTCCCCATGTATCATGGTCTGTAAATTTGCTTTTTTCACAGCTGTGAGAATCCGGGGTAAGAATAAAGGTCCTCGTGCAATCTAAGCTTGTCATGAGATGTGACTAAATGTATCAGGTAGTCCGGCTTGGTGAATTGGTTGTTCGTATGTTGTTGCATCCTAATTGCATGGATTAGTAAAATTTAATCTAAACCTGTCTCGACCAGACTTGACTATTTAGTGAACACAAAACATGTTAGCAAAATGAACTACCATGAAAGTTGAAGTAGGTCAAGCACTTAGATTTTAGATTTTATGTTCCAAGACCGACCCTCTTCAAAACCACACCCACTACCTATCCCCAATGTTACCACCTACAGCTTCCTTGACAACACAAAACACACATCGTGTAACAAAAAGCTATATGTAAGAATGTGAAAAGCACCAGAACAATACAAAAGGTGGGTCAGTTTAGGGAAAAGCCATTTGAGCAATCCATTGAAATCTCAAGTATCATCAAGTTAGACATACAACATTAGAAGATGGACTAAAGAGTTTGCTTCACCTTTATTTACATATGATCATATGATGTGAAGATTAAGTGTGGCGTCAGTCACTATAACACTGTTAAAAGGGATAACAGTCTTATAAGACACACACTTACACCTGACTTTGGGAAACATCTACCCATTTAGGAATTCATATTTTAATGTGTGATTCTTTTCCAAAAGTGCAAGAGTTACAATAACTGATAACTAGGGTTTGGTTTAATTGTTGTTTAATGTCGCACTCAGCAATATTCCAGCTACATGGCAGCAGTCTGTAAATAACTGAGTCTGGACCAGACAAGCCAGTGATCAATGACATGAGCATCAGACTAGATAACTACTGGTCTGTATTTACCTTAATGCCTCTCACATAGAGCATTACACGATTAGTCTAAACGAACCTGTTATGTGAACTTAACAAACGCTGGTTGAGTCACAACCATTTGTCACTGTGGCCACATGGAACATGGTGCACATAAACAGACAAAAAATCCACACTGTAATCTTCTTGGGGTATTCATATCCTGATCTCCATACTCCCCACAGAATGGTGACAGACCAATTATCACACTCTGCATAAATCTAGGACACAAACCTGGTACTATAGTGACAAAGGAAATCAAATTAACACAAACAATGCACAATCGTAACTTTATATATCTTGTCACAGTCAGTTCAGGTAAAGCATTATTGTATACAGTGGGAGTCATTGCTAGAAGATCTGAACTGCTCGTGACTAGTCGTACCTACTGTGTATTTTAATAACAACCTCGAAAAATTAAACCAAATATACACTTACTTAGTCAAATGCTTTATGACAAGTTAAGGTCCCAGTATACCGGTACAGTGAACAACTGAAGTCTGGCTTTAAGATGACGTAAATATAGAAGAGTTTTAAGATGATGTAACATTAATCAAACAAACAAATATGACACCACTAACATGACCTCACTTAAAAAGTACAATTCAGTCTGTGCCAAATAACCTCATAGCCTGACTTCACCTGATATCATTTTCAGTAGATTTTCGAGTTAATGTATGGACCTTTAATAGCAAAGATCTACTTGAATGAAATACTTTTTACTTGACTCAAGCTTAAGAGTAGAGCCTAAAGTCACAGCATGTTCAATGTGTTCTCAAACCTTTGTGCATTGTGCACAATATCCTGCCTACATTATCTGATGATAAATGTTGTGATTCCATCTTGTGTCAGCCCTAACATAACTTTACACAGACAACTTGTCACTTCCATGTCAACATCTGCATCACACAAACACTGGCTGTCCTCTTCACGCCACACCAAGCACATCCTCAGTTGGAAACCAGGACATATATCATACTGAAACAAAGAAACATGGAGAACATAATGAACAGGTTATTAGGACTTGCAGCACATTCCCCCCCAATAGATCTCATAGTGGTGAATTGAAAAATAACGGAAAATACATGTATTCACTTTATTACGCATTAACATGATTAAGCAGCTGCCAGGTAACATATGATGATTTTCCTGCAATGAGGGAGGGAATGATGACCATGCAACTTTCAGTAATTGTCAAGTTATATCATGACAGTCAACGAACAACTAAGACAGTTAGTTAAGCTTGCGATTGGCAGCAATATTCTTCTGGTTTTGGCATGATGGCGTCAGTCACTTTACAGGGAGTAAGGGACCATTCATAATTTATGGCTAGGATGGGGTGGTGGGTGGGGGTGTGTGATGATGATTTTTGTGGAGAAGCATGTACAATGCAATGACACCCCCTAAAATGTATGTACAAAATAAGTGAAACACACACACACCCCTGAGTGTCATGTACAAAATCAATGAACCCCTCCTCCCCTTCCCATAATTTCTAAGCATAATTTTGAACATATTTTTATGCACAAAATTGCTGGACACCCCCACCCACCCCAGTGCATGTGTACAGAATTGCTGACCCGCCTAGCTCCCAAGAACAAAATGGGTGACCCCGCCTTACAGTCATCATCACCACCCCCTAGCCATAAATTATGAACGGTCCCTAATCACCAAATCCTCAGTTCAAATCTTTGAAGGGCATTTAGAAGTGGAATGCATAAGAAAAGCAAGATTTATGGATGTCAATCCTCAGTTGTCAATATATGACAAGCAAATTTGTATAAGGAACAGTTAATGTTCCAGCTCTATCACAGTGGGATGTAAATAATCTGGACCAGGCAAACCAGCGAGTGTGTAGATAAGCAAATGTCCTCCATTGTCAGGGCATGAAAACATGCAATCAACAGCCTGTTTCCCAATGTCATCTTAAAGCTATGGCAGTCTTAACTTCCCTAATTTTAGCACATATTTATGACACTCTTAGTGATATGATCACTTAACTTCCCTAATTTTAGCACATATTTATGACACTCTTAGTGCTATGATCATATCATTGTTTACGGAATGAGGTCTTGACTGGGTCGCCAACTAAGTTGCCTCATGTGATAGGTAATGAAAGCATGTAACCTGGTTTCCAAACACTCTGATATGTTTTCAAGAGGAATGCAACAGGAAGGGCTATTAAACACAATGACCTTGTCTTACCTGTAAAGGTAATAGAAGAATGATATCAGATAAAATGCCAGTTTCACCCAGCCTTCTCTCTGTGCTCGATTTAGTTCATCTGCATTCATTATTGTTGTGGGGTCATACAGACCAGGTGAGCTCATGACAGGTCTGTTCATGTATCTAGAAATGAAAGGAAGCAACCAGACATCACTCATCCATTTACAGTAAACATAGGGTGTCAACAGGCTTCCTCCAATCATAGTAAGAGAAGTCAATGCCTTCTATTTACAGGCAGTCTCTTAATACTGGCAGTCTGGCACTACTGATGATCCAAACAATAACATTAATGGAATCCATGGTTGATTCTGTGTTTAAGCCAAAACCTGATCATGAAAACTAAAATCTATACGGATGTTTTGGTAGTTACTGGTAACATGGTTTATTTAGATTTATCTGTAAGAAAAATAAATTTTGAAAACAAAATCCAAAAAGTTCAAAGTCATTCTGATATTCACAATGGACCACTGGTTATACTTCAACTGAAATGATCCGAAAGATAAGACTCAACTATGCAATGCAAACTCAGTGTTAGACTTTTATTGTCATTATTACTTGTTCATAACAATAACCTGCGACAGGACAGAGTTACATTAGCTTAAAAGTAAAGGTGGCAGTCCACACACATACATATTCTGTTATAAGCATTAGGTTAGTGGACTATATGTTAAGTTTCATAACCTCCAAAAATGCATAATCTGCAATATCAGTACACACAGGATTTCACTGGCTACTCCATGGCTGTTTCCCTAATGTATTTAAACTAATTCTCTTGACATTTTACAACTGGTGGAATTGCTTGCCACCTACCTTCTGACATGATACACTAACAGCGGCAGGTTGAAGAGAACAGTCCCCAACTGCCAGGCAAACACAAACAGCACTGTGTAGAGAATCTGTATTGCATATTCAGGCAACACAAGCTGGAAAGAAATGGAGACAATACCAAGTTTTCTATAGTCAGTGAGGACGAGGTTTTTCAAAGAATTGTTATTATTTTTCGTACCAGCATGGCCATTGAAACAAAATATCACTTCAGTTAGATGTTTCTGATCTTTAAAGAAAACATTGAACTATATTGTAATGACTGAAGATATTGACCATTTCGAAGATTGCTGTGACATGTGTTCGTATCAGTGAAAGAACCACCACAGTGATCAGGGTCAAATAGATACCATTGTATACCTCTGTAAACATCATACAGATACACACAAAAATACAGCTATTAACTGGAACATTTTATCTATTGGTTGGGCCTTACATAACTACCCAAAAAGGGTTGAAATAACTCGGTAAAATAGTTATGTGCTCATGTGCAAAAATCACTTCATGTCCACCAGTGAATTGTTTTCATCATGCAGATGGCATAATGGTAATAAAGAAACTATTACACTCACATATTTATCATACTCATTGTTGGAAATGTGCAACAGTTCATGTATTACTGGTATTACTGCTGGTGAAATACAAGGATTCTGACACTTGTATCACAAAATCAATGTGACACACATTTTTTGTAATCATAATAATCTCTGTATACAAAAATATATTATGCATGCACTATGTGCACATACAAAACACTACATCTGACATCAGAAATACATACCGGATTCAAGCTGTTACACTGGTCTATAGGATTCTTGTAGTCTGTTTTCAACTCGTCAAATGCAATTATCTGAAATAAGTTCAGTCAAGAATGTTAGTTACGTACAATGTTAGTCATCTAGATGTCTCAAAATGAGTCTGGAGCAAAATCATTAACTCCAACATGTAAAATATTTTAGTTATAAGGAACAGAATATGTGAATACTCAATACTTTTCAAACTAAACAATAAAAAGTCATGTTCGTGGAACAAAAGGCAAGGAACAAAGAATGAATGATACTTTCATGCTGCAAACAGCAATATTCTTTTTCAAGCATTATCCCAGTGCTAATCACAGAAATCATTTAAGTGAGCGAGTGAGTTTAGTTTTATGCCGCTTCTAGCAATATTCCAGCAATATCACGGCGGGGGACACCAGAAATGAGGCTTCACACAGAAATCAATTTAAGTATGCATGAATGCTGTTCATAGAAAGCTATGCAAAATCTTCTAAATTTATCAAAATATTATGAGGAATGGCGACAAGAGATTGACAGATATTTAGTATGTTGTTATTGTCATCACATGTAAGTGTTCTCTTGTAATAATTTGTCAAGAAAGACAGTATGTTCAGTAAAAAGTCCAAAAGCCAATACAGGCAATGTTTGGTTGCACTGATCATTAGTTATTTACAATAAAATTGCCTCATTAGCCATTTCACGCAGGAACCAAACTTGAATATCTGTTATTGACAACCAGGTTATTCTGGTTAGGTTTACATGATATTTCTGGTTGTTATTCCTCACTTGGTTCTCTACGTAAAAGTAGTATTACACATTATGAAACTGTTATGTCTCCAAACTGATTGCTCAGTATTGTAATATTGGCATCGGCGATTTCGGAAATAACCTGAACTTCCTAAAGATCAACAAGTTTCACCCCTCGTTAAACCGATATCTTTGGTTTTGAAATAACAAGACACATGCCATGGCAATCGGACAGAAAAATGTCACGATTAACTAAAACGATCAGTAGACATCGCTTCTGGACGTGACATACATACGCCCCTGACAATATATGAATCACTGATGACTGAACAAAATGAGGCCGGTGTTCGCATCGTCATAAAGAATATCGCTGTTAATAAATGAGAACAGATGTTTTATCGTGTTTCTATCGCAATGTTTTCATATACATGATATACATTTGTAAAAATGTAAGTCTTACGTGGAATATCACGAAGAATATAAGCACAGCAGTAAAAATAAGAGCGGCTATGTAGCAAAACGCAGCAAACGTGAACGCCATGATTGTAAACTAAGGGCGTGTAACTATGTGCAACTTCCGGTGTTGGTCAAATTCCTTTTCATGTCGCTGAAGTCATATAATATTTTCGGATCGATTCCTCACGGGGAAAAAAATGGTCTTTAACTTAGGACTTTGATTAGTTGAAAAATTCATTTAGAAACATTTTATCCGGGACACGGCTTCTGTAAAGTTATTGTGGCATTGATCGGACACAAAAAAATATACAGTAATGTGCTATTTGCACGGAACAGAGACCATATAATAGAATGGTCTCTGCACGGAAACGATAATATCGTTTCCGTGCAAATAGCACATGACTGTATTTTCGTCGATATTGGATGTCTGCCGCATTAAGTAATGTTCAGGCAAGGGGTGATCAGAAAAAAAGTAACAGGAAAAAAAGAAGCGGAAAAAGTAACACATTTTGCTAGGAAAAAAAGTAATACATTTTCACTTTTTTTTTTAATTCATTAACAAAGTACAACAAAACAATTACAAGCACATAATATTAGACAAAGCAGGGAAACTATACACATTGTATATGTTGTAGATTATCACTGGACAAAGTCACGAAACAAGACCTGAAGGAAATTACTATGCGGGTCTCTGCATGGATGTCTTGTAACAATGGTGGGTATTATTTTCTCTTTTGTCAAATATTTTTATTTTAACAAATGTGGATGTATCATTTTTTTCAGGTAATTAAGTTCCGTCTTTTTGCCACTGAGAAAAAGAGAGAAATAGTCGTTTTGGCAGTTTTTAAAGATGCACTATAGAAGTTCGGGAAAATAGGCATTCGAGCTGTCAGACATAAGTTATATATCAAAAGTTATTCTTTTGCTATATATCGAACAGTTACATATTCCCCCTTAGTCCAAATATTCGGAGAAAATGTTTCAGCTCCTCTCAAGTAGAATTATGTTCTTGAAAACGTGGCCAGAGTTGAGACACGAGAATGGGTCATTTCTGAAAGAAAAAGAATCCTCTTGAAATTTCTGTAGCACAATAAATCAGCCAGAAATGTCGGCCCCATTTGTTGGTCAATGGCTATGAGTACATATTGGGACATAAATCAGATCAATGAAACCCTATCAAGATCTATCCAGTATCATGAATGACGAAGCTATTCCATAGTTATGGTTTAAGGTTCATGTGTACCCATCGACATAACATTTTCACATATTACAGAAATACTAAAATCTGTTATTGATTGACGTAATATATTTGTGTATCTGATACATTATTATAAGTCACACATATATAGTATGACCAGAAATTATTGAGAACTTTAGGAATATGTTTAATTGGATTTCTAGTATTATAAACAACCTTGACCAGCTATCAAGTACTTGATTTTATTCAAGAGAGACAACTCCGTTAATCCTTTTTCATTAGTTTGTGAAGAGCTATCCCCCTTTGCTTACTTGCTAGCAGACGACATTTTCAGTGATCCTCAGTATGGATGATTTAGAGAAGAGGAAGTTGATTTTAGAGTATTATAACAAGGACATCAGATCAGCTAAAGTGATTTCAAGTAGAACAGGCATCCCTTTGTCCACTGTTTATCGTGGCATTGAGCGCCAGGGAGGCGCAGGTAGGCCCAGAAAATTGACTGTCGGTGACAGGAGGCGGCTTGGTATTCTTGTTTCTAAACACAAACGAAGGAGTTTAGAAAACTTAAGGCTGGATATGATTGATAGAGGAACTGTGGATGTCTGTAAGGAGACAATTAGAACTGAGCTGCATGCAATGGGTTGGCAGAAACGTCGAGGAATTCCATCACCGATCATGAAACCTGAACAAAAGGAGCGAAGGTTGAACTGGTGCTTACAGCATAGAAATTTTAACTGGGACAATGTGATTTTCTCAGATGAAAGTTCTGTGTGGCTGTTTCCTAATACACTGAAATTCTGGACCAAACAAACTGAAAAACCTTGGTATCAGCGCCCAAAGTACAGTCCGAAATTTAACGTGTGGGGTGGCATATCTGTGTTAGGGGCAACGCCCCTCTGTGTATTTGAAGGGAATATGAACAGTGAGCGGTACACAGATATTTTCGAGGGACATTTACTTCCATCTGCTCACGTGTTCTATGAAAATGTTTGGATTTTCCAGCAGGACAACGACCCAAAACATCGTTCAAAGCATTCACAGGCCTGGTTTCGGACCCAAAATATGACATTATTAGATTGGCCAAGCTATAGCCCTGATCTAAATCCAATAGAAAATGTTTGGGGACTTATGAAGGAAAGTGTCAATAAGAAAAAATCTGACAAATATTGCTGAAATGAAAGAAGAGGTGGTCCGATATTGGGACAGCATGGACCATGACTTTCTAACTTCTTTGATCAGTAGTATGCCCCGTCACATTGAAGCCTGCATTGCTGCCTATGGTGACTTGACAAAATACTAACTGTTCACCTGTCTTTGAATCTGGAGTTATGTTCTGCTAATATTCACATTTAATACGCGAGTAATGAGTGAAAAAAGTAAAAAACTTACAATCTTTAAATTCTCAAAAATTTCTGGTTGTACTGTACGTACAGTGCAGGAAAATCAGATTCAAAGATGTTATTACGGTGTTAATACTTTTAGATAATTCAGGATGCTTTATTAACATTAAACATAACAATTCATGATTTGAAGAATGCTGAAGTGTTTTACTAACCCCCATTAATATGATTATTCATTATATACTATACAGACAGACAGACACACACAAGCGCGCGCACGCACACCGCAAGCAAACACTCATCAATATGGTAGGTGTATCAATGGCTATACGGTTTGTACCAGAATGACACGAGTGGGTCACAGATGTCACTGATGGTTTAAGGTGCTGTAACCCTCTAAGTAACAACTTACACCTGCAACGGTTGTTTGGCATCGGGCGTACGGTGAGCGTATCTTGCCCCACCGGTGGCATCCGTCATGAACACATGAAGAGTCTATCACTTGTTCACCTGAAATAATTCAGGAACGTATGCTACATGTCAATATTGGGAATTGTATCGGACAACATTTGTTTTTTGTCACTGATGCATTAAATATCGAAATGTCGTCCACACGTCTATCATAAAACAGTTATTTTTGAAAGCTTGATTAGACAGGATCTACGGTACAGGAGACAAGATTAAGATAGCGTTTTGTTCACTGGCAAGTCGAGATTCCATTTGGACAGCTCAGAGGGCAGTGTACAGATGGCGAAGTGCATTGTTCAACGTCGGCTGGTGGTGAAAGTGTTATGATATGTGTGTGTGTGTGTGTTGTATGGGGGGCATCATCACATGCTCGGACACAACCTGTCATTGTCAATGGCAATCTGACAGGTCTGTGATATAGGGATGAGATCATTGGGCCGCATGTGCAGCCGTTGTTCATTCGAGGACAGAAACGTAACTTCACGCTTCAGCAAGATAATGGCCGTCCACATGTCGCTCGTGTTGTGACAAACTTCCTGAGCAGAACTTTCCAGAACTTCCAGTACTACAGCTGTTTCTCCGGACCTGCCCCCTATCGAGGGAAGAAATGGAGCGACGTTTACGCCAAGCCCAGAATCAGCCATTCACGTTAGCTGAATTGGGACAAGCGTTGGATCAGACATGGAACAACATTTCCAAGCTTTCTTCAATCGCTTAGTGTCGTTAATGCATCGTCGTTGTCAGGTCTGCATCAACGTCAATGGTGTACACACGCGATACTGAATTTGTGAACTGACTTTTTTTACACATCTCTTCAAGAGCGTGTCACGATGTCCAGTGTCAAATCACACAGATTTCGATATTATCCCGTAAACAGGTAAATAATGATTAAGGAAAACACCACAAATCATGTTATTATTGCTTTGCATTAAAAAAATAACATAACATCAATAATGCACAGTTACTTTCCTCCTCTAGTATATTTATTTTCCTTCAGAACGACAGAGTCGTCCATTTTCTTATTTGTGTGAATCTGATGTGGGTTAACACAAATACAAATATCGATCTTTGATCAAGAGTTTGACAAACATGTTTTGGCATGAAAGGGATAACTAACACAAAATGTCACAAAAACTCACACTAACATTTTTCATGAATGACTAAACTTTGAAAAGTGATTATCTCGAAAGTAGGTTTGTGTGGTTTATCACTGTCTACTTCGACCAATCGAACTTTTTGAAAGCTTGATTGAGGCCTTGAATGTTGTAGCCCTGACCAAACAACTTCCGAGCAAGAGTGGTATGACGCTCTTTGGAATCTTGGTAAAGAGGGCATGTTCGATTGTATCTCAAAAGTTGTGAAATGTAAACACCAAAGGCTGGAGATGTTGGCATATTGCTCGACATGAAAGGAAAGTTGACTAATGGGAAGTTGAAATCATCCCTCTTTGTGATACAGCCTTGTGGAGAGTATTTTGGCTATTTGATGGTAATTGAACGATATCAAATTATCGATATACCTTAAGCTTAAGTTAAACATTTTGACCAAATAATTTGACAAAGATGTTATCAATGAGAAAGTCTACATATTGTTTTCTCCGTAAACTTCAAATGGCATTTGCTTTCATTTTTGACAAATTGTCCTGAACCTCTACAGATAAATACATGTATGTATATCTGTGTTCACCACGTTTGTTTACAAATACCCCATGGATCAAGGAATGAAGTTTTTCCTTAAGTTTGTCAGGGGCTAGTTGTATACAACGTTGAAAAATGAAATGTTTTGACAGAACGGGAATCGGTCCTTTTCTGAGATTGTAACGTTGTGAGCAAATCCTTTGACTTTTTAAGAATCCACATGGTACCGCTTGCTTCAAATACTTTCAGGGAATATCGGGAAAGTCATTCCTTGATAATACTGACGATTATGGTTAATCTTTGAGACAGGGATTTGGTGGTACATTTACTGGACCCAAACAATATATCTCTCTTTGTACGGATTTTAATGTTGCTTTGACAAGAGGGATTGACATGTCAGGTTTAAGAGTCAAGCCAAACGTTGACAGCACCGTTAAATGGTTTAG